CGTCATCTCCCGCGATCGCGACAAAATCATGAACATTTCCCGCGCCAGTGTAGACATCAACATCATCTCCCGCGGTCACGGAAACGTCATCGTCATCTCCCGCGGTCACGGAAACGTCATCGTCGTCGTCCGCGATCGCGAAAAAATCATTAACATTTCCCGCGGCCGAGCAGATATCATCGTCGTCTCCCGCGGTCCCGGAAACGTCCTCGTCATCTCCCGCGGTCACGGAAACGTCATCGTCGTCGTCCGCGATCGCGAAAAAATCATGAACATTTCCCGCGGCCGAGCAGATATCATCGTCGTCTCCCGCGGTCCCGGAAACGTCATCGTCGTCTCCCACAGTCACGGAAACGTCATCGTCATCTCCCGCGATCGCGACAAAATCATGAACATTTCCCGCGGCAGTGTAGACATCATCGTCGTCTCCCGCGGTCACGGAAACGTTATCATCATCTCCCGCGGTCCCGGAAACGTCATCGTCATCTCCCGCGATCGCGACAAAATCATGAACATTTCCCGCGGCAGTGTAGACATCATCGTCGTCTCCCGCGGTCACGGAAACGTCATCGTCATCTCCCGCGGTCCCGGAAACGTCATCGTCATCTCCCGCGATCGCGACAAAATCATGTCATGAACATTTCCCGCGGCTGTTTAGACATCACCGTCATCTCCCGCGGTCACAGAAACGTTATAGTCGTCGTCCGCGATCACGGCAAAATCATGTAAATTTCCCGCGGCCGTGTAGACATCATCGTCGTCTCCCGCGGTCACGGAAACGTCATCGTCATCTCCCGCGGTCCCGGAAACGTCATCGTCATCTCCCGCGATCGCGACAAAATCATGTCATGAACATTTCCCGCGGCCGAGCAGATATCATCGTCGTCGTCCGCGATCGCGGCAAAATCATGAACATTTCCCGCGGCTGTTTAGACATCACCGTCATCTCCCGCGGTCACAGAAACGTTATAGTCGTCGTCCGCGATCACGGCAAAATCATGTAAATTTCCCGCGGCCGTGTAGACATCATCGTCGTCTCCCGCGGTCACGGAAACGTCATCGTCATCTGCCGCGGTCACGGAAACGTCATCGTCGTCGTCCACCATCGCGGCAAAATCGTGAACATTTCCCGAGGCCGTGTAGACATCATCATCATGGGCTTTCGCAGTTACGTAAACGCAAGACGACGATCGCGGCAAAATCATGAAAATTCCCGACTTTGAAATCAAATTTAAGACTAAATCCCGACTTTTCAAGACCATTTTGAAATTCAATACTAATTCCCGACTTTCCCGATTTTCCCGACTACTAGACACCCTGAGTGTTGGCTATTCATGGGTACTATAATGTTGAAGTTTGAGAGTCTGCCATCTTGGATCAAGATCAGATAATTAAAATACTGTTTTTGATATATTTTCTAGCCCTAATTGAACTTTTAAAAACACTTTATTGTTCTAGTAGTCTCATTCTGTAAGAAAAATCAATAAAAGCCTATATATGAATCTTTTATCTATAAAATAGTCTCTCTCAAAAATCTGAAGTGGCGACACTAGGCTTAGTCATCCACTCGTAGAAGTCAAGTGACATAAAGTTCTTGATTAATTAATTAGAAAATATAGCCCGGTGGAATTATTAATTAGAAATCTTTCTTAGTACGGTATTATTAAATGAAAATTCACTATTTAAAAGTCACCTGAATGAAAATACTTTATTACACAATCACATTCTCTATAGCTTCTTCCATCCAAATACATAAATATACTAATACAATACTAATACCAAATACATAAATATACATCCAAATACATAAATATACTTAATATAACCATCCAAAGATAAACTTTTACAACAAGTTGTTCTCAGGCTTGCAGTCTCTGTACACCAGACCCTGGTAATGCAAGTGTTCTAGGCCACACAGCACCTGTCAACCATAACATCTACTACTGTAATATAACCATCCAAAGATAAACTTTTACAACAAGATGTTCTCAGGCTTGCAGTCTCTGTACACCAGTCCCTGGTAATGCAAGTGTTCTAGACCACACAGCACCTGTCAACCATAACATCTACTAATGTAATATAACCATCCAAAGATAAACTTTTACAATAAGTTGTTCTCAGGCTTGCAGTCTCTGTACACCAGACCCTGGTAATGCAAGTGTTCTAGGCCACACAGCACCTGTCAACCATAACATCTACTACTGTAATATAACCATCCAAAGATAAACTTTTACAACAAGATGTTATCAGGCTTGCAGTCTCTGTACACCAGACCCTGGTAATGCAGGATGTTCTAGGCCACACAGCACCTGTCAACCATAACATCTACTACTGTAATATAACCATCCAAAGATAAACTTTTACAATAAGTTGTTCTCAGGCTTGCAGTCTCTGTACACCAGACCCTGGTAATGCAAGTGTTCTAGGCCACACAGCACCTGTCAACCATAACATCTACTACTGTAATATAACCATCCAAAGATAAACTTTTACAACAAGATGTTATCAGGCTTGCAGTCTCTGTACACCAGACCCTGGTAATGCAGGATGTTCTAGGCCACACAGCACCTGTCAACCATAACATCTACTACTGTAATATAACCATCCAAAGATAAACTTTTACAACAAGATGTTATCAGGCTTGCAGTCTCTGTACACCAGACCCTGGTAATGCAGGATGTTCTAGGCCACACAGCACCTGTCAACCATAACATCTACTACTGTAATATAACCATCCAAAGATAAAATTTTACAACAAGATGTTCTCAGGCTTGCAGTCTCTGTACACCAGTCCCTGGTAATGCAGATGTTCTAGGCCACACAGCACCTGTCAACCATAACATCTACTACTGTAATATAACCATCCAAAGATAAACTTTTACAACAAGATGTTATCAGGCTTGCAGTCTCTGTACACCAGACCCTGGTAATGCAGGATGTTCTAGGCCACACAGCACCTGTCAACCATAACATCTACTACTGTAATATAACCATCCAAAGATAAACTTTTACAACAAGATATTCTCAGGCTTGCAGTCTCTGTACACCAGTCCCTGGTAATGCAAGTGTTCTAGACCACACAGCACCTGTCAACCATAATATCTACTACTGTAAAGATAAACTTTTACAACAAGATGTTTTCAGGCTTGCAGTCTCTGTACACCAGTCCCTGGTAATGCAAGTGTTCTAGGCCACACAGCACCTGTCAACCATAACATCTACTACTGTAATATAACCATCCAAAGATAAACTTTTACAACAAGATGTTCTCAGGCTTGCAGTCTCTGTACACCAGTCCCTGGTAATGCAAGTGTTCTAGGCCACACAGCACCTGTCAACCATAACATCTACTACTGTAATATAACCATCCAAAGATAAACTTTTACAACAAGATGTTCTCAGGCTTGCAGTCTCTGTACACCAGTCCCTGGTAATGCAAGTGTTCTAGGCCACACAGCACCTGTCAACCATAACATCTACTACTGTAATATAACCATCCAAAGATAAAATTTTACAACAAGATGTTCTCAGGCTTGCAGTCTCTGTACACCAACCAGTCCCTGGTAATGCAAGTGTTCTAGGACACACAGCACCTGTCAACCATAACATCTACTACTGTAATATAACCATCCAAAGATAAACTTTTACAACAAGATGTTCTCAGGCTTGCAGTCTCTGTACACCAGTCCCTGGTAATGCAGATGTTCTAGGCCACACAGCACCTGTCAACCATAACATCTACTAATGTAATATAACCATCCAAAGATAAACAAGATGTTTTCAGGCTTGCAGTCTCTGTACACCAGACCCTGGTAATGCAAGTGTTCTAGGCCACATAGCACATATCAACCATAACATCTACTACTGTAATATAACCATCCAAAGATAAACTTTTACAACAAGATGTTTTCAGGCTTGCAGTCTCTGTACCCCAGACCCTGGTAATGCAAGTGTTCTAGGCCACACAACACCTGCCAACCATAACATTGACTACTGTAATATAAGAATCCAAAGATACACTTTTACAACAAGATGTCTCAGAACTGTGTGGTATAGAACACTTGCATTACGCGGGGACTGGTGTACAGAGACTGCAAGCCTGAGAACATCTTGTTTTATAAAGGTAATATCAACATCCATAGACATCCTTTTACACTTATGATTAAAAGTCTTTCCATGATGAAATTACACTTATTTAAGCCTATGTTAATTACAATCTAAAACAGTGTTTACCAACCTTTTTTCGTTCAGGGCATACTAACTAGAACACGTTTGTAGTCACGGCACACTTTTCTACAAAAATATCATGACCACAGTCGTGTCCGCCGTGCTACCTGCGTCAGTGTGTCCCTTATAAATGTGGCCGGCTACCTTCATTAAATGTATTTTGTGTTAAAAATGTGTGAACTTTATGTTTAATGTTGAATGTAATTTTTTATGTTGAACTTAATGCTTAATCAACAAGATGACGTGTATTTGTATCTTATAACGAAGACTTCTATCAGATTTTTGGACCAATCAATTTGATGACATGGGTTTGAAAAGGGTCATTTATGACCCGAAACTAGTCACCCTTGACTATTTTAAGGACTGGACAAGGAATAAAAAGGTACGGAACCTATCATATAATATGTAATCAGTCCTGGTGGCAATAATGTTTGAAATATCAAGGGATGAGAAGTACTTTTTTTATATTTCCTTCAAACAGACGCAGACTTTTCAAAATTGGAAACATGGATTCAACACTGACAAGTAATTCTATACAAAATATCGTGTTCTCATGAACGCGCAACTGCACTTAAAGCACCTCTATTACGACATCAAACATTTTTTAACTACTTCAAATTTCGCGGCACACCTACAGGGGCCTACCGGCACACCAGTGTGCCACGGCACACCGGTTGGGAAACACTGACCTAAAATATCAACGGCAAATCATTCCAATTACCATGCTACATACACTCTCAGTTAGTTTGATAATTAGTAGCAACAGCACCTACCTCAGCAGCATAGAAGCGAGCTCGTGGGATGTCAAATCCTGGTTCTCCACCCATGTTATAGATGTGAAACTTAAGATCCCCTCCATTCATTATGGTGAGTACCAGACATAATGCATCCTTCGTCTCATAGGCATAAGCTAAACTCACCTAAAAAAAACATACATACAGTAGAACCTTGCTAACCCGTCACCTACGGGACCGGGAGCATGGTCGGAATAGCAAAAATGTCGGATTATCAGAGGAACGTGTTTATTGACATAAAAAGGTAGTAAAACTGTATTTTGAACAGACCACGGATAACTGATAGCCACGGTTAATCCAACATGACATAAAACAGTTATGTCCAACTCATAAACAGCGCCTAATACCAACTGTATAAATGGACTTTAATGTGATAATTTGCATATTACATCATACAAATACAATTAGTAGGCTATTGCGCAATCATGATAATTAATTATGTTCCGTCATTAACCTTGGTTTAGTAATAAAAACTCTTTAACGTTTAAAATCACAGCTTTATCTAACTTTTACTCAAACAAATAAATTGCTAAACATTATACAGCAAAATAAAGAACAGAACAATTATAGAATGTCTAGTAGACAATAGACAATAGACAAGTTTATTAGTCATTAATTAATTCACAAGAATTACAATAGACATCGTCAATCAAAACAATAGAAACATTATTTATAAACAACTATAAAATTTAAGTCTTTGTTTACAAATTGTAAATTGAAGAAATCACTTAACTTGTACATAGGATTAGCTTTACACCAAGAGAGCAGTTTTTTTGAAAATTCATTTAAGGGCAATGCACGAAAATCAACTGGAAACATGTTAAATATTTTGATCCCCAAGTGGGTATGATAGTTTTGAGATCTAGACAGTCTTACTCTACTTACATCAATAAAATTTCTATTCCTAGTTAAGTGGCTATGGACATTTCCTCTTAAAACATGTTTGTTTGAGTTCTTTTTCACAAAAATGTAGACTTCATAAATATACAGATTTACAACAGTTAATATACTAGATTCTATGAACAGGGATTTACAATGGTCTAATCTTTTGGCACCAGTAACAATTCTAATGACTTTTTTCTGTTTTAATAACACCTTACCAATACCTACTCCATTACCCCAAATCACAATACCAAATCTTATGATGCTCCCAAAAAATGCAAAATAGGCTAATTTCAAATAGCTATTAGTGACATGATTCCTTAAACTGCCTAATAAACATTTGACTCTGGATAACCTTGTACAGAGAAAATCAATATGATGCTGCCAAGACAGCCTATTGTCAATATATATACCTAAAAGCTTAACAGAACTAAAATCACAGATGTCATGGGTTGAAACCAATAAATTGTCAGTTTTGTCAACATTTAAAAGCAAGCCATTTGCAGAGAACCATTCTGTCGATTCACCTAAGGCCTTTTCTGATAGGCAGTGCAACTGCCCTAAGTCACTGTGGCTACAAAACAGTGTTGTGTCGTCTGCATAGATTGTGACATCACTACAAGAAACATTAACAGATAGATCATTCATAAGTATTAGAAATAAGATGGGGCCCAAAATTGAACCTTGCGGAACTCCAAAATTAACATGAGTGACTTGCGATAACTGTTTAAATACAAAAATAATGATAATAGGCAAGAATATTTACAATCTTTTATTAAAAACATCAGCATACAATTTTTTTATTAATTACGCCTAACTTATTAAAAATGCCCACGATTAGGAAACAAAGTGATATCAGTTAGGATAGAGTTCAACTTATCCAAAAATAAAATAAATCATAAAATAAAAGCAATATTAATTTTTATAAAATAGTTACTTGTTTTGACTTTTTATAGTAATAAAACATTCCTCACACTGCTTACACTTAACAAAACTTCTCAAATGTTATTAAAGTAATATTATTAAAATAATTAAAGTAATATTTACATTTAAAGAATTAATTAAATAAGAACGCCTTCGCAAAGGAAACGCAACTACAACACGCTCCTGTATTGCGGGTATTGCATTGACTTTCTGCAGGCGTTTTTAAGTTTTTTTTTTTTTTTTTTTTATTCTTGTCTCGATTAAAATCTCGGCCAAAAAGAAGTCTCGTCTCGTGTAACAAGATTTAAAATTTCCCGAAAATTTCCCGAAATTTCGAGACTTGACCATCCCTAGTTTTAAGCTGTATCTTACTGCCAATTTTAGCCCTAATTATTTTAATATATTAGCAGTATTATTGCCATCATTATAATACATCTCAAATACTTTTGTATAAAAAACCAGTATTATTAGTTTATTAGTATAGCATGTTCATCATTTACACTTTACTCTGTACATTGTACTTTGAATTGCATATTATCTCCATTGACCTTAGTACAGTGCAATTAGCTTAAAAAAAGAGCAAACCGGGACATCCAAAAAAAAAGTTTCAAACCAGTGCAAAATTGTTGAATACACTTCCCTCAATATGTAAAAAAAAGTTACACTGATTTGAGTGTCGGGTTTGGGGGGGAGGGGGTGAAAATGGGGTAAAAATAGGACTTTTTTACTTTTTTGCAAATACCTCAAAAAAGGTGAGTTTTTCTTAAAATACAATGAATTACAAAAATAATCTACATTAAATTTCGAACAAAATGATACCATACAATACCTATCTACTATGAACGGTTCCGGAAATATTGGGGGGTAAATGTGATTTTTTCTAAAAATTCAAAAAAATTGTTTTTAAATGGAGAAAAACCATGGACACTCATAAAAAAAGTTTCTAATGAGTGCCAAATTGTTCAATATTCCTCCCTTAATATGTGTAAAAAAGTTACACTGATTTGAGTGTCGGATTTGGGAAGTAGGGTTTAAAGAAAATGGGGTGAAAATAGGACTTTTTTTACTTTTTTGCAAATACCTCAAAAATGGTGCGTATTTCTTAAAATACAATGAATTACAAAAATACAGTAATCTAAATTAAATTTAGAACAAGATGATACCATACAATACCTATCTACCATTTACGGGTAAGGAGATATTGAGGGGTAAATGTGATTTTCTTCTTTTAATTCTAAAAAAGTTGTTTGTTTTAAATTCATGAAAACTATGGATACCCATAAAAATCTCCTAATGAGTGCTAATTTATTCAATAGACCTCCCTTAATATGTGTAATAAAGTCACACTGATTTGAGTCTCTGATTTGGTAGGAGGGCTTTTCAAAAAGGGAGGCTCGTAAAGGGTGCTTTTTTTATATAATGAATTACAAAAAAAAATCTTTATTGAATTTCAAACACAATCATATTTACAATACCTATCAACTATGAACGGTTGTAAAAATTTCAACTACATTCTAATAAAATAATAAAATACGATAAAAATATTGATTTCCTTGTAAAAAAAATTGCCACCATTTTCCAAAATGGCAGCTACCTTTAATATTGGAACCTTCTGTATTTCATGGTCTGTTTAAGATATAAATGCGATTTTAACTCTTTTTTGTTCTTTGCATATTCTCTATAAACTTATTCGTATATGAGCTACAGGATGCGGAATGTATACAGCAAGCCTTTTTTCCATAAGTGTAACACGTTACGTTGTAACTCCCAAATGAGTAGTTTTTAAGAGAAAATGTCAAAATTAAAAATGTCTTAAAATTGCATTTGAATTATAAAACAATCATAAACCACAGGGTGTTCCATAAGAAATAACAAAGTTGTCAGCCATATTGGAAAATGGCAAACATATTTTTAAAATTGGAAATCATCCCAAAAAACATCTAAAAAGTAAAGGGGAGTGCTCCATAAGAAGTCAACTCTATAACTCATAATAAAAAAGGTGAGTTTCAACGCTATTGGTTCACTTTACGTGAGACATCCTACAGGGTGTCCCGTAAGAACAGCCAAACTCCAGAAAATGGTTCTATGGGTCAAAATAATAAGAAAATCAAGAATAAATTATTTCCCAAAATCACTTCGTTAACTAGATATTTGTCATTTTGTTTTTTACACATAAACAGTATTTTATCTTTGAATTTTTTAACCGATCATTATGTAACTTGGTATGTATGTTGAGGTAAAATAGACTCTCGTTAGAAAAAGAATGATCTTAATCCAATTAAAAATTTAAAAATGGCGGCCATTTAAATGTTTTTAAATTTAAATTGCAAAAAATGACTAATTTTATGAACTTCATTTAGCTTTTAAAATGATGAAAATAAAAAAAATGAAATATCATCGATTTTTAGTTGTAAAATGAGGCAAACCTGAATAGCGAAGCCTTGATCTTAATAATTTTACAACCAAAAATAGTTATAATTTAGTTATTTTTATTCAATCTTATTGAGCTTGGTGTCGTTTGATAGGGAATTTTAAAACCTAAATAAAAGTTTTCATTACATTTTTCATAAAAATTGCCTTTTTTGCAATTTAAATTTAAAATATTTAAATGGCCACCATTTTAAAATTCTTTATTGGATTAAGATAATTTATGGGTGTCCATGGGTTTTCTCCATTTAAAAAACAATTTTTGTAGAATTTTAAGAAAAAATCAAATTTACCCCTCAATATCTCCTGAACCAATTATTGTAGATAGGTATTGTATGGTATCATTTTGTTCGAAGTTTAATGTAGATTATTTTTGTAATTCATTGTATTTTAAGAAAAACTCGCCGTTTTTAAAGGTATTTGCAAAAAAGTAAAAAAGTTCTATTTTCACCCCATTTTCTTTAAACCCTACTTCCCAAATCCGTCACTCAAATCAGTGTAACTTTTTTACACATATTAAGGGAGGTCTATTGAACAATTTGGCACTCATTAGAAACCTTTTCTATGGGTGTCCATGGTTTTTCTCCATTTAAAAAACAATTTTTTTAGAATTTTAAGAAAAAATCACATTTACCCCCCAAAATTTCCTGAACCGTTCATAGTAGATAGGTATTGTATGGTATCATTTTGTTTGAAATTTAATGTAGATTATTTTTGTAATTAATTGTATTTTAAGAAAAACTCGCCGTTTTTGAGGTATTTGCAAAAAAGTAAAAAAAGTCCTATTTTCACCCCATTTTCTTTAAACCCTACTTCCCAAATCCGACACTCAAATCAGTGTAACTTTTTTACACATATTAAGGGAGGTATATTGAACAATTTGGCACTCAATA